AAAAAAAAAAAAAGAAAAGAAGAAGGAAGGAAAGTAGACGTCCTGAATAACTACTAGCCAATTTTTGACACCAATAAAAAAAGGGCGCTTATATCTTCTTCTTTTGTTTTTAATTTAAAAATAGTCCATTAAAAAAAATATTGTAAAGTTTGAAACAACCTAAATGGTATAATACTTATCATTAAATAAAAAGTAAATTTTTCAATATTAAAAGCACTTCTTTATTTAAGAGTCATATTTTATAATACCATATAATTCAACTCACAAATAAAGAGATGCTAGCAAGTTATATCACTTTATAACTGGTTAGTATAATATTTTTTGTTGGTTTCTGTATTAAGAGTCTTAAAATCTTGTTGCTTTATGAACGTTTTAAAATTAAAATTTTTTAAAAATATATAAAGATACAACTCTTTCTTAGTATTTAAATCTTAAATTTAATTAATTGACAAGTAATAATAGATAAAATAATTTATTTTGTATTTAAGTAACATAAATATTTTATTATACTATATTTTAACGAGAAATTTTCTCACTTAATATCGCGTTAAGTGGGTTGCATTTTTTTAATGACTATAATTTTTAGAAAATTAAAAAAAAAAAAAAAATTCAAAACCCTTCAAATCTTGATCATGTGAGTGACAAATCAATGCTGCCTCCACCCACCCCATGCCCCAGATTCGTTAAGGCGTTGCATTGGCCACATAGAAAAAGGGGAAAATCATCCCATAAACTGCTGCCAGACGAAATTTTATTTTAATAAGTTTGTGGGTTTTAACCCATCATCATATGCTATAATATTTTTAGTCTTTTACATTAATAGATTTGTAGGTTTAATCTATCATCTTATATTATAACACTTTTAGTCCCTCATTTATACGAATTAAAGAAAATAATTATCACTTAACATTAAGTTATAATATTCTATTAACTCTATTAGTTGACTGTTAACATCCGTTAGCATTTCATTATATTAAATTTAATTAATTGACAAGTAATAATAGATAAAATAATTTATTTTATATTTAAGTAACATAAATATTTTATTATACTATATTTTAATGAGAAATTTTCTCATTTAATATCGCGTTAAGTGGGTTGCATTTTTTTTAATTACTATAATTTTTAGAAAATTAAAAAAAAAATTCAAAACCCTTCAAATCTTGATCATGTGAGTGACAAATCAATGCTGCCTCCAGCCACCCCATGCCCCAGATTCGTTAAGGCGTTGCATTGGCCACAGAGAAAAAGGGGAAAATCATCCCATAAACGGCTGCCAAACAGGGCAAAAACCTATTTTTAACTCTTTATCTTAATAAATTTGTAGGTTTTAATACCTCATTATATATTATAACATTTTTAGTCATTTATATTAATAAATTTATAGTTTTTAATCTCTCACCTTATATTATAACACTTTTAGCCCCTCACTTATACGTATTAAAGAAAATAACTCTCACTTAATATCAAATTATAACATTCTATTAACTCTATTAGTTGACTGTTAGCATTTATTAGTATCCGTTGGCATTCTGTTATAAAAAACATAAAATTTAAATTTAAATTTATTTGTTAGTTCTGTTAACGGAATACTAATGGAACACTAATAGTCAGTTAACAAAATTAATAGTTAATTAATAGAACTAATAAAACTTTATA